ACCATCCCACCATCCTCATCATCGTCATTACCTCCATCATCATTATTTTCAATATCATTAGTCATCATTATCATCATCATCAGTTATCATCATCCCCACTACCATCCCACCATCCTCATCATCGTCATTACCTCCATCATCATTATTTTCAATATCATTAGTCATCATTATCATCATCATTAGCTATCATCATCCTCACTACCATCCCACAACCTCATCATCATCAGTCATCATCATCGTTACTACCATCTCCACTTTCTCCATCATCATCAGTCAGATCATCTACCAGCGTCGTTTTTTAGATAATCACTATCTTCACTATGACCTTGATTTCTTAAGCTTTGTTTTTTTACCAAGTACGTCAACTTCATATTTGATGTCATTACTGTCGTTCTCAGGGCAATTAGATATAGTAACAAGGGCTGATCCAGGGGGAGGGTCGGGGGGGTCGCGACCCCCCTGTCATTCCTGAGGTCAAATGGGCTTCTTGTTTTAAAAATGCGACTGGGATTCCTTTGCCCACAAAATTTACCCCTGAGACCCTCCTTCAAAAAAAACCCTGGATCCGCCCTTGAGTAATGTCTAAATATTTTGTTAACGCATGTTACTGATTGAATCTGCCTTTTTTCTAGGGAACAAGTATTTTACAAGTCGTTGCATTTGATCTTGATAAAGACATCAACAGTACTGTGACATATGGCATAGATCAAGGTAATCTGGGACTGATCTTCTAAAGTGTGCAACAAGTAAAGATGGTGGGGCTGGGTTAAACTGTGGTGTACGAACATCCCATTTAAAGAGGCTTCTGACTTTCTCATTTCGATCGGAACAGGATTCCAAGGACAGTGGAACCTGAGGAGGGCTCTCGGGCTGTTCCTATTTTCCGGGAATATGAAATCTTATTTTGTCTTGATTTTGAGTTCCGCATGTAAAAAAAAAATCCCCCTCCCCTCTCTACTTTAAATTGGGCTCCAACAAAATAAAGATTTGACTTTCCGCCGTCCAATATTTAACCTGAATTCACGTCAAACTTTGACGTTATATTTATTATATCAAAAGCATATCAAAAAATTATGGGATATCATCCCTAATATTTTTTTCGGGTTGTCTATCACTAGGGCTTTCTGAAAAAAAATATCAAGAAAGATATCCCGCCGTGTCTGATATACTTTACTATACTTTGGCCCTTTTTTATACATATACAAGTATATCAAAAGTATATCAAAAATTATGGGATGTCATCCCTGATATTTTTTTTCAGAAAGTACTGGTGATAGACAACTTGAAAACAATATCAGGGATGATATTCCATAATTTTTGATATACTTTTGATATACTTGTATATATGCACATTAGGGTCAAAGTTTATGCAAACCGCAGTATACATCTATATCTATATCTATATATTTATATATATACCAATTGTTTGTTGTTGTACTCTTTTATTTCCCAGTAACTAATCCTTCAAGATTATTCGTTATAAACAACGTGACAGGTTTGATATCACTGAACGGATCTCTGGACAGAGAATCTCTTGCTGAATACAATATACGTGTTCTGGTATGTAGAGTTACTGGCATAGCATTCACAACAATGGCGGATGCAGGAGGGGGGGGGGGTGATTGGGGAAGTATGGAGTTCTTTGACGATGCGGCGGCCATCTTGAATCACAAAGCATCACAAAGAAGTTTGCAAAGGGTGGCAAATATTATCATTTTCAATTTGTAAAGCAAAAGTAAACCTCAGTAAACCTCACATTTTAGTAGAATGTTTTCAAAATCTGTAAATCAAGCTTAAARTCAAGCTTGTAAATCGGTGGCCTTAATTAAGGAAAGGTATGCATAGCTCGAAATAGTTTTTCCATTATAGCGGGAAATGACCACATGACCTGTCATGTCATGTTGCCCTGTCAAATTTTTTTTGCATTAGTGCAATCTGACCGTTTCCTTTCTATGACGTCATACAGGCATATTCGTCATATCCGGTCACAGATCACGCCACTGTCAACATAAAAGTGACAGATGCCAATGACAACATACCTGTATTCACACAATCAGTGTATCAAGGCTCCGTGGTGGAGAACTTAGCAGCTGGAGCGAGCGTGTTGAAAGTAGAAGCAACAGACAAGGACCAGGTATGATAACAGTGCAAGATAACATTACTGTAACACCCATCCCAGTCCTTCAATTTTTTATTGATACCCCAGCCTGAAACAACCTCTGGGCTGAGCAAAGTCAGGGCACAGCTAAGTCACAGATCAAATCCTGAAACAACCTCTAGGCTGATCTAAGTCAGGGCACGGCTAACTCACAGATCGAACTAAGATACAGTCTCTCGGCTGACCTAAGTCAAGACATGGCTAACTTATAGATCGAAGCATGAAACAACCTCTGGACTGATCTAAGTCAGGGTGCAGCTTCTGTGACTCACAGATCAAAACCCGAAAGCACCTCTGAGCTGATTTAAGTCAGGGCATAGCTAACTCACAGATCAAATGGAATTTAGCGTGTTAGGATTTGTGGAGCCTGCAAAACCCGGAGAAAAACTAATGTGATCGCAAATCCAAGAATCACGCACTGAACCGTGACTCCTTGGACTCTCGCTCGCAGTTCTCTCTCAGAGATCACGAAATTTCATGACCTCATGAGCTCAGCTCTTGGGAAAGTGCTCAATTTTCTCGTAAGAGTGCATCCCATAATTTATTCTCAGGTGCTACCAGTCGACTTCCTTCAAATCATTGTTTATTTTTTAAGGGAATAAATGCAGAGCTACGCTACCACATCAATCCTGGTAATGATGCAAATAGGTTTTCAATCAACAGCCAAACAGGCTTCGTAACTACTTCAGCGGAACTTGACAGAGAAGAAAATAATTTATACAACTTGACTATTATTGTGGAGGACATGAATGGTAATGGAACGATAGGCAATGTGTTTAATAACACCGCTACTGTGTACGTCTACGTACAGGTAAGAGAAACCATACATTAATCTTAGTTCACGACGAAAGAACCTCGGGCATGACTAACTTAAAGATCCAACCCTGAAACAACTTCTGGGCCGTCGATCGAAGTCAGGGCACGGCTAACTCACAGATAGAACCCTGAAACAACTTCTGGGCTGWGCAACTTCAGGGCATGGCTAACTCTCAGATCGAACCCTAAAACAACCTCTGGGACGATCTAAGTCAGAGCATGGCTAGCTCACATATCCAGCCCCAAAACAACCTCTGTGCTGATCTACTTCAGGACACGGCTAGCTCACAGATGRAATTGGAATTTAAACAGTATGTTACGTAATTTATTTCACACTGCTGCCACACCATCCTTGATTCCCCTTGGCTTTCAACAGGATGCCAATGACAACGCTCCTGTCTTCACGTTTCTATCGTACAACGTCACCATAAACGAATCCATTGCGGTTGGCGCGAAAGTGATCCAGGTCGAGGCTAAAGACCMGGATGTAGATCAAGATATAGTGTATGCCATTACTGGTGGTAATGAGTTGTCAAGGTTTCTGATTGGTAGAAGAAGTGGCATCATTTATGTTAGAAGTGTTATTGACAGAGATCCACCTCGTAATGAGACATCATTTACTCTAGAGGTGAGCCTGATAATATGCACAAATATGATATTATTTATAATTGTAGATTTCTGGGATAAGACGTCACTTAATCAGCAGATCTCCCATGTAAATTAAAAACTTGTTTTGTAAAGTGTTCGTTAAAATGTTAATATTTTGTTCATTTAACTTATTTAACCGTTCACTCATTGCAATTTTTATCACTAGCGATGAGTGTAGGACAGCCGAAACATGTCTAGTTTAAAAATTTTGTTTATATTTAACTAAATTCTGATCAAATTCTTGCTGTTTTGACAGCTTGGAGAGATAGAAAAGTAGGCAGATTATTTTCTAGAATTTGCCCTGGTATTTGTAACCCTTAATCAATYATTTTTTTAAGTCTTTTTAAAAGCAGTATTTTTTTATTTATATCCTTTACCTTTTATTCATTCATTTTTTCATTTATTCATTCATTCCTTCGTTCGTTGATTCGTTGATTCATTTATTCGTTAAAATATATTTGCAGGTGATGGCAATAGATGACAAAAATCATTTGTTGAACTCTACTACATCTGTAAGTACTGATTACCTAGAAATGCATGGGTTTCCTGTTTTTCTTGTCTTTCCTTCTCAATTGGTCTCAATATTTCTATATCGTTTTTATTCATTTCCAGGTAAATGTTGCTGTAGATGACGTCAATGATAACCACCCTCACTGCTCGCAAGGTACCTTCACATTTCCCATAATGCATTTAACTTGATTGTCATTAAATGTTTAGCACTCTTTCACATCGGCCAAAAGGTTTTATTGCATTATTATAGAAAGAGGATATAACACAATAGATTCGTTCAATTGTTTGACACTCTAAGGTCCTCTCGGCTGACGTGAACGAGTACTAACGTCATCAATTGTAAGACTCTTTGGAACCCTTTACCAATGAATTGGCTTTCCCTTTTCTATACTAAAATCTTTCAAGAGCTAGAAAATAAGTAAAAATAAGTTAGCGAATACTTTCTAGGGGTCTCATTGAAAGCACACGTTATGTCTGAAAAGACTACCCTGAAGTTCGTATTTATTCACTCTTAGTCATTTTGAGGTTGAGTGAAAATCACTTGGATCGAGTTAGTTGGCATTGCAGTGCATGGTAGGATTGTTAGGGGACGAAGTAGACGCCATATTGGAAAAATCTCCAATAAAACAGTCCCCCAATGTACTGCAATGGCAAATCGACCTAGTTTTTTACTCGACTTCGGCGTGGCTAATTGATTGTAAGACAGTACTAGTATCACTTTCTTAGTTAGCAATTTCCGTACTTATTGGTATGGAATATTATATTTCGACTTTATAACAAACTCCTATCTTTATAAGATCAATACAGTGCAAGTGTTTACGAAAACGCAACAGAAGGAACAACAGTGATGTCTTTGGTATGCAGTGACGTGGATACGGGGGATAACGCTCGCCTTACATACCAGCTGGTCAGCGGTGCTGATAAGGTACGTAGAGTAGGGACAGAAAGGTGCGAAGAAGTTACGGAGGATATTATTGGAACTAGGACAAAAAATAAAACAGCACATCTACATAACAGTAAGAAAGAGTGTTAAAAGGGTGTTAACTTTTTCCTTAATTTTGTCATCGCCACGTATTAACCGCAGTTGTGGTTTTTCTATTTGTGCTATTCACCTTAGACTGCGTTTACGCGGTACCGCACGAAGAAAGTGTACATTTAGGGGTTCCGTTCACGCGGGACTAAGGCTATCTGAACAAAATTGTTTTCACCTAGCCGTGTAAATCTGGATCCGGTTCCGTGTAAACAGAACGTATTTTCTACACAATCAAAGAGACGGTTCCGTATTAACGGTCAATCGGCAGTACATGCACAAGTCACATTTTTAACCGGTTTAAAAATAGGCCGATAACGTGTAAACTCAGACCTGTTATATTTGTTTACACATCTGTTTATTCTTTTAAATAGAAATTTGACATTCGTTCTACGTCTGGAATTGTTCGTACAATCAATGCACTAGACTATGACAATGGTAACAAGACATACAAACTATCGCTATTGGTGACAGACCATGGAAACCCACCACTAACAAAGTAAGTAGAGATGGAATGTTAATCACTTTTAGGGGATGCTCATTGTAACAAGAGTCCCTTTTCTCATTCGGGAGAAACCAGTGTGTTTTATGTCAAAAGATTCATATGCACAGGCTTACGAGTGGTGATAACTAGTAGAGTACGAGCATGCATGGACTGCGTCAGTGTTTCTGAATAAAACAGCAGGAACTTGTGGATAAATTGAATCACAAAAAGCTTTGTGAAACTGCCGACGTTTCGTACGTTAGTCCTTCGTCGGAGTAAGTAGCTCCGACGAAGGACTAACATCCAAAACGTCAGTCTCACAAAGCTTTTTACGGTGATTCAATTTATCCACAAGCTCCTGCTGTTTTTTGCACAGGCTTAGCCTGGTCAGAGCAAAGTCAACTGTAATGCTGCAATGCGGTAACCTGCGTAGAGGCCCTCGATAATTGTGTGGTTGAGAAAAGGGAGAAAGAGGGTCCTGCAAGAATCCCCCTAATTATATAAAATGTAGTGATGATGATAATGGTAGAACATATTGGGTTCCTGTTGAATGGGGGTTATTTATATCGGATATGTATGTTTTTTTTGTAGAGAAGTTTCACTGAATATAGACGTAATCAACATCAACGACAATTTTCCTCTCTTTACGAAGAGACAGTACGACTTTTCTGTACTTGAGGTAAAAACCATAACACTTTGACTTTCATAAGACATGATTAATTCTGCAAAAACTCATAGGTAAATGTTTCTCAGAATAACTATGAAAATAATCGAGCTGAGCAACAAAGACGAGGTAGGGCAAAAGGAATAAAAAAAACTACATTCAACTATAAATTTCACAATAGAAAAAATATTTAAAATTAACTAATTTATTGACATAGCAACGGTAACTAAGGGGAGAGGAACTATGAATAGAATGTGCAAACACATTGTTCATGAAATGAAAATGAAATAAGACACCATGATGCGAAATCCTACCTAGCAAGCAGTTGATGTAATGTGTTCATAAAAATACAATGAATCGAGTCTAATACAATAGATAGAACGACAAATAGAATACAAATTTCTTTCTGAATACATAACATCAACTTAATGCTACGGGGGTTCTCCCAAAATTAAAAGATATCTAAGTCGAGAATTTACGGTGATGATATTCACCGTTCTTATAGTGGTTGACGAGCGCATTAAAACGAGGTCACCCAGTCATGTTGCAAGGCTGAGCAAGGCTGCTCATTCAAAATAAAGGTGGATAGCGCGAATTCAGGTTAAAACAAAAGGTCGTCAGTTTCTATACTTTTCTTCTAAAAATGCATTGCATGTGCTTTTATATCTTTTATCATGAACTAATGACTGGGTGACTTCGTTTTCGTGCACTTATCAGCTATCATAAGAACAGTGAATGCTGTGCCGTGAAAGTGAATATGATTTTAGTTTTTGTGAATATACAGAGTAATCCATACACTCTGATATCTTCAGGGCGATTACTCAAGTCTGGCCGTACTTATCGGGGAAGTCGAAGCTACTGATGGTGATACTGATGCCAATGGTTGTCTCTGTGGTCAGATACGATACAGTATCGTCAACTCTACAGGTAAAATACCTTGAATAATGAACGAGGAATCTCTATCTAAATCAAGATTTCCTTGTGCTAGACGCGGTTTCCTTAATAAMAGTAAGGGGGTGGGCCCTAATTCCGCACGGGGACTGGGCAAAGCGGGTACTGGGTAGATATTGCGGATTGCGAGAAACAAATCATTATTTTGAGAAGGAAAACGGGAAAATAGTTTTCTTACAATGCGTATCCTAAGAGCAGCATGCTCGCAATATTATCTTTAGGTTTCTTTGGCATAACAAATTACCTTTACATTTCTATGTGTGTTTCTAAGACTGAGGTCAAACGTCAAATGTCGAACTTCACATGAGCCGAACCCGATTGAAGCAATGGATAGCGAGGCGTTCTTCTTTGATGTCATTAGGTTCGGCTCATTTGAAGTTCGATGTTCGACATGACCCTTATACACTTATTTTTTTAATGATCAATGACAATTCAGAGAAAATCAATTTATGCTATTCTAGTCAAGTACACCATAATATTCTCTTTTTCCCAAAACCAGGTGTTTTCAGCATTGATCACGTGACCGGTGTCGTTAGCACTTCAGGTATCCTGGATCGCGAGGCCAAGTCTATTTATACCTTAGTTGTCATGGCAACTGATCGGGATCCATGGAAACCCTTGTCAAACTCCACTACTGTCACCATCCATGTTGCTGATCAAAATGATAATTCTCCCATCTTTGACCAAGTCAACTACACGGCAAAGGTTGGGGAAGACAAGGGGCCTGGGTACCAGGTCATCAAGGTAGGACAAACAGTTTAACCATTTGATACATTTGCTTTGAATTACAGCTTAAACTTATCAGTAAAGTTATTACTACTGAGGGTGATGGCACGACTACTGTGTTAAGTGTTCCAAAAGGGCCTTAAATTGAAATCGCCGGTTCCATTAATTAATTATTCGATTACTGAGTTCCTCATTCCTTCCTGAGACTAAAGATCAAGGAAGATTCAATTGAACTCTTTCGGTAAAAACCGCTGTGTTTCAYGACTAAAGACTCATGTGTTTCATCTGCATCATAGACTCATCGAGTGAATAATTTGCAAAAGTCAACTGTAATTAAAAATGTGCAAGTTGAATTTGTGAATAGCTCACTTATAAACGAGGTTAAACCTGTTCAAGAGTCTGGTCTTCAAGAACAATTGTATGCATCGACTGTAATTTAAAGTTAAACATGTCAAGTGAAATAACCTGTCCTCCCAAAAAKAATCTCTCCACCCAAAACTGTCGCCAGTACTTAAACAACGAGAAAAAAGATTAAATATATTTACAATTAAATAAACAGATTTCATCAAGTGATAGAGATAGCGGTCGTAACGCCAACATATCGTACAGTATAGTGAGTGGTAACATAGGAGGTGTGTTCACCATCGATGAGATGACTGGTCAGCTCTGGACTGCAGGACCATTGGACTATGAAACACTCAACAGATATGACCTAACTGTGGCTGCTATTGATGGTACGTTGAATACTCGAGTTTCGAGTTCTCTGTTGCTTAGTTTTAGCTTCGACTTTGTGCAGAATATCCATGTGTTATAGTGAAGGTCCTTGGCATTTCAAAGTGTTTGTATTGTTGAAGATGTGCAAGTGAGCAAAAGCAAATACGCAGTTGCGATACCTCATTCCAGTGCCTTAATACCTTGGGTTTTTTTTCTGAATTGTGTGTTTGTATTTTCTTGTAGGGGGTGCATCACCAAGACAAACTATAGTCAGTGTGACAATTGATGTTATCGATGCTAATGACAACAAACCAGTCTGTATGAACAACGGGTTGACTGTCAAGATACGAGAAAACTTGCCTGCAGGACAGATTGTCACCAAGGTATATTATTATCATCGTTATCATCATGATCATGATCATCGTCATCGCCATCATCATCGTCACAGTCATTATTATCATCAGATCATTGTCATCAACAACCAATATCATAATGATCCAAGAGAAAAAAATATTGAGTTGTTCTAATTAATATTTTTGCTATATTTTTTTCGTTTCACTTTCAGATATCTGTTGTAGACAAAGATCATGACATCAACCAAAMGACACGCTACAGTCTAGTAAGCGATTCATTTGATGTGAATGACGAGACTGGTGACGTCAACACCACGCGCTCATTGGACAGAGAGAGCCAATCAAATTACACCTTAACAGTCATGGCCTATAATTACAACCAGTCTTCCATGACAGTCAACTGCACAGGTACTATCTTTACTCTCGCTTAGCTGTTCAAGCACAGTAAGATTACCGTGATGTTATGAGGGGTCAATAGTGTGCTGTCAATAACTAACTTCAGGGATGTTGCTTCAAGCCTACCTGGAACCCCCGCCCTCCCCATCCCCCCTCCGTCCATCATGAACGTGATTTTCCAGCCATATATAGCGTAAGGGTCACGGTGGCAATGCGTTAACACGTTAATGTTTTTCACGCTTCGCAGTTATGGTGGTAGTAGAGGATGATAACGACAACACTCCTCTGTTCAACATTTCAAGCCACAGTATATCTGTATCCGAGAGCGCTGCCATAGGAACCACGTTGCTAAGGGTAACGGCTACTGACCAGGACGAGGCTCATAACGGTGACATAAGATACGTGTTGATGGGAGACGGGACAAAGTTTGCTGTCAATGAGACAACAGGTTGGTGTCACGTGTTCAGATGTTATGCTAATAAACCCAGCCCAAATGTTTAGTACAAGATGTAGTTCTTTAAATTTTATCGATGCCATTCTGATCAAACTCAGGGGAAGGCTAACTTACACATCGAATTGTAATTTAGCAGATAATATAGATAAAAACCGCAGAGAATCCCTTATATCCCTCGAGACCAAACAAACTCTAAGGGCATATGATGCCCAGTACAGGAATCAAACCTGAGTCCCTGTAGGTGAGGGGTGAGTCCACTACCGCTACGCCACCCTTGACAAATAGATTTAGTTCTGGTCTCTAGTCTAGGAAGGATAATATATAAATTTAAGCAGTGCCTAAAAAAAGACACCATGCTTGAATACATTTGTTCTCATATCAAATCAAACCAGTTACACTGATATCTATTGTATGCTTTTTCTTCCAGGAATCATAACACTTACTTCAAGTCTAGACCGGGAAACAACCCCTCACTACACCTTTAATATAGTGGCAAGAGATCGAGGTTTACCCCAGTCCCGCTCGTCCATGGTTCATGTGTCAATCAATGTTACTGATGTGAATGACAACACACCGGTATTTGATAAGGCGATCTACTCGGGTAGTGTACCAGAGAATGTGGTCAATAATAGTATTGTAATGACGGTATATGCTGAAGACAGAGATGAAGGGCTAAACAGAGATGTCGAATATTCGATTACTGGTAAGTAAACCTGTTGGTAGAAACACTGGATGAAAAACTCTTAGGCGGAAAATTGTCTCGTCTTTACTTGTTAATAAGATTTGATGTTGTCGTTGTTTCTTCTAATCTTGTTTTTACTGTTATTGTTGCTACAGCTGCTGTTGCTGCGTTGTAGTGTTTGCTGACGTCTTTGTGTTGCTGCTGCTGTAGTACTTGTTATTGTTGTTGTTGTTAATGTTGCTGCTGATGTTATTGTTGTTGTGTTTGTTGCTGCGGTTGTTGTTGTTTTGCTGTTGTTGTTGCTGCTGCTATTATTGTTATTGTTGTTGTTGCTGCTGATGTTGCTGTTGCTGTTCCTGTTGCTGCTGTTGTTCTTTTTGCTATTGGTGTTGTTATTGTTATTGTCGTTGTTGTTGCTGCTGCGGTTATTGTTGTTGTGTTTGTTGCTGCGATTGTTGTTGTTTTGCTGTTGCTGCTGCTGCTGTTTTTGCTACTGCTGTTGTTGTTGCTGCTGTTGTTATTGTTGTTGTTGTTGCTGCTGATATTGCTGTTGCTGTTCCTGTTGCTGCTGTTGTTCTTGTTGCTATTGCAGTTGTTGATGTTGATGTTGCTGTGGTTGTAGTTGCTGATGTTGTGCTGCTACAGATGTTGTTATTACTGCTGTCATTATACTTATAGTTACTACTGTGTTGTAGTTGCTGTTGCCTGTGCTTTCTTGTTGTTGTCGCTGCTGTTTACCTCTGCTGTTGTTGATGTTGTCGTTGCTGCTGCTGTTGTTGTTGATGTTGCTGCGGTTGTGGTTGCTGATGTTGTGCTGCTGCAGATGTTGTTATTACTACTGTCATTATACTTGTAGTTGCTCCTGTGTTGCAGTAGCTGTTGCCTATGTTTTCTTGTTGTTATCGCTGCTGTTTACTTCTGCCTTTGTCTTTGTTGTCGTATTTTGGAACACAAGTTTTCCTTTTATTTAACTATCATTAACATTTTTCAGGAGGAAACGTTGGAAATACCTTTTCCATCAATTCCAGTGGAACAATCATGACAGCCACCCCCCTTGATCGCGAAACAACAGATCGATACGAGTTGACGGTAACAGCTAGAGACAGGGGGAATCCTCAATTAAATTCTACTGTTAAATCTGTAATAAGGGTGCAAGACGTGAATGATAACGCTCCTAACATAACAAATGCTCCAACACAGATTACCATACAAGAAAATACACCCACAGGTTTGTTGATATTTAATGATTAACTTCCTCATCTTTGGACAAGGTCACAGCTATAAGAAGATCTAACCCAGTTTGATAAATAAAATCATAGTTAATAGAGGGGAATGGTTAGGAAACTCTATTGTTATATCTTATTGTTCACTTTTTTCAAGCGTGACCGTGCACAATCCTTTGTTTACCATTGTTTTACCATTGTTGGCAATGGCTGAGTGAACAGATCAAAATATTCCTTACAATAATCCCGTAGACAAAGTTTATGTTTACTTATTTTGCAATTTCGGATGAGCATAAATTAAACATATTGCACGGTCAAGACCGGTTCAACCTCACAAGCGAACAAAGACCTGATAACAATAGCTTTCCTAACCATTCCCCTCTATTAACTATGATAAAATAGAATCTCTACAGCTCTACTCAGCTGTCATCTTCGGTCTGTTAATTTTACACGTTTTTTGTTTCCCTAAAGCCAGTGTACATATAAAACCATTGTTTGTTTTGGCCAATYTCTACAGCTCTACTCAGCGGTTACGACATTACTGTCATCTTTGGCCTGTTAATTTTACACGTTTTTTGTTTCCCTAAAGGCTCGTTGGTATACCTTTTGACCGCTGATGACAAAGACATGGGGCTCAATGCTCGAGTGACGTTTACAGGGTACGCAAAGCCTGCTGGGACGTTTGTTATAAACCCATCAACAGGAATGATTACGACTATTGGACCACTGGACCGTGAAACTACACAAAGGTACTACCTGCCTTTAAGTTTTGTCTATCTGTCTGTTTGTCTTTCTGTTTTATATTCTGCATTTGTATTTTTTTTCTATCTGCGGACTGACTGTCGGTTAATTTGTCTGTCTGTCACACTATACAACATAACTTACACCACTGTGTTCATATTTTTAGGTACCAGTTCTTTGCCTATGCAACAGATCGTGGAAGTCAACCTCTAAATAGCTCGTCTGTGTCCTTCGACATCTCCATTAATGACATAAATGACAATAACCCGGTGTTCAATCCCGTATCTTACACGGTCAATATCAGTGAAAATGTTTCTATAGCGACTGTGGTACTAAGTGTGAACGCTTCAGAGAAAGACTTGGGTGAATCAGGAAGGATTGTGTACAAGATCGAGGCTGGTGATCCACAGGGATACTTTAGGATCGATAACAATACGGTAACTAAAGTCTATACTTCTATCGCAAGGGAACATTGGTTACCAACAATGGGGTAGGGGTGGGGCATATTTGGAAATAAGTAACAAGTCCTCCAATAGACGCCTTGCAGTCCCTCGGAATGCAGCTCAATTTGTAGGACATAACAATAGGTTTCCAATTCTCATGAGATTGAAATTATTTTGTTTTGTCCTCCAAATTGAGCTGCTTTGACGTCACGTGCAAGGGATGGATATTATTAATGCAATAGCCCCTTTTCTTGTTTGGTTAATTACCCTTGTTATTGTTTACGACAGACTCATTTATTCAGGTTCAGCCTCGTTTAAAAGCTTTTTTTCCGGAAACGTTAGCTGTAATGTAAAGAATGTGAAAGTTAAGCAATGACAATATTTTTTAAATCCCACGGACTCTCAATGGTATTTGTGAATAGCTGTAATATAAACGAGGCTAAGCCTGTACAAATGATTACATGGTCTTCAAAAACAGCGGTATTTTGTGTTTTTGTGCCATTAGTGATCATTTCTGGTGATATTTTTTAAGGGTGTGATAAGAAGTAGCAAGAGTCTGGATAGAGAATCGATTGCTCGGTTTGATCTTGTCATCTCAGCAAAGGATCATGGGAGTCCTGCGAGATTTGGATACGGTTATGTAAGTACTTTCAAAAGGATATACCTGAATGACAGACAGACAGACAGACAGACAGACTGAATAATAGGCAGACAGACAGACAAACAGACCGAAAGATCGGCAGACAGCAGAAAGACAAAGTCACAGGCAGGCAGGCAGGCAGGCAGGCAGGCAGGCAGGCATGTATTCAGAAATATTATGACCAGGACTTGTGAACAGACAGACAGACAAAAAAGCACACAGCCTACGAAGGGACAGACATACAGAAAAACGGATGGACTCGCGAACGAGCGGACAGAAAGACAGACTGACAGGCAGGCACGTAGAAATGTATCAAGTGAAGTAATTCTGCTGGATTCTTTCAGGTAACAATATTCATCGTAGATACAAACGACTTGCCTCCCGTTTTCGTTATGAATCAATATTCATCAAGCATCAAAGAGAACATCGTTACTGGCACTCTTGTTACAACGGTTATAGCAGCTGATGGAGACATAGGACCAAACGCAAAGGTAAACAAGGGAAATGACTTGCAATAGTCACTACTTGGAGTAAAGTGTATACACCACATTGAAAAAAAGAGTTTTCTGGTTGAAATGGTTAAATCATCGAGCTAAGGCTGAAGGGGACTCAAAGTAATATCGCAGTTATGCGGCCCTCTRTCGTCGATTCAAGTTGGCGAACATAGCATTTTGTCACTCTTCATGCATGTGTCTGTATGCAAACATGTGTCTCCAAATCGGATCAGGATATCAACTACCCCGAATACACCCCGGTCTTAGCTTTGAATATTTAACCGTTTGAATCCGACAACGTCCTTCCTTGCTAGCAGAGTCTCTCTTCTCTTTCTCTCCCTTCTTTCAGGCGGGGAGGAAGGAGACTCTGCCGATGTAGAGCGCTTCCTTTGATACACCGCCTTCCACGATGGTGGACGAACAAAACCAGTTTTAAAACCGGTTTTTAACCGATTACATGTAGTGCGCATGAGCAAATGTAACAAACCGTGGCGCCAAACATTGTTTGACGAGAGCGGCTGTCAAAATCATGACAGCGTTGCTAAGCCACGCATGCGCGACAGAAATAACGTCCTACATCGTCAGAGTCTATTTTTCTCTCTCAACCAAAAAAAAAAAAGGAAAATAGGCTCTGCTAGCAGGGAAACAACGTGCTTTTAATTTGTTGTATGTAACCTAATGTTTATTCACGGCCTCGTTGCAGATTACATATTCCATTCTTAATGGTGAAGGCATGTTGGATTTCAATATTACAACTATAGAAGAGATGGATCCAGAATCTCAGAAGATGCGTTTCGTTGGTCGAATATACAGCTCACGTGACCTGGATAGAGAATCACGTGCATCATATAACCTCACGGTACATACCAAAATGTTTCCATATATACCATGCATTATAAATTATAATCAGTAAGCCTCCAGGAAATGGACACTGAGCCTGGCTTCTGATAGAGGCTGCTGGGGTATCGGGCTCGATTCTCGGACTCGGCATTCCTTGTAATTAGAGCTTGTTAGTTCTCTCCCTTGTTTCGAAGTTTTTTTTCCCTCCTTTTTTTGTTTTGTTTTTTCCCGGGTTTTTCAGTTTTTCTCCTTCCAATAAACCTAACCCGCTGTGAGTTAGTTGTCACAAAAGTTGTTTCAGGGTATCAATAAAATTTAACGGCTCTCCTCTTTTGAAATTTGAATGTTGATTGCTTTTAAAAAAGGAGGCTTCCTAAAAGACGTCTTACCATATTTTCTTAATATCGTTTTCCCCGCTTCATTTTGCTAGGTTGTTGCTTCAGATGGAGTGCACAACAGCACCACGCAGGTGATCATTACTCTACAGGATGTGAATGACAACTCACCGAAATTTGATGTGCCTTTGACAGTAATAAACATTAGCCTCGCTGAGGTAAGTAGAACATGTTAGGTCCCGTCCACATGTATCCGGAAATTTGTTTATCCGTAAATTATTATTTGCGGATACGAAAATGTTCGCGTCCACACGCAGCGTATTCGAATCGTTTTCACCGTCCACACGTATCCGTTTCCGTAAAATTTGCGGATACGGACACAAAAATTTGTGGACACGTAAGGACGCAACCCGTATCTGTAAAAAAAAATTGTAGATACAAAAATTTCCGGATACGTGTGGACGGGGCCTTAGAAACATCCTTTATAGTGGCACTATCCTTGCGTTTATTTCCTAGAGGAATTGTTAATTCCTGGGGGACAAAGCAATAGGTCGTCTTTCCTTATGCAAAAATATATCCATTGTGCTTATTTTCAATTTCTCTCGGGACTCAGTGCAAGGGGTCTATAGTGTTAGTGCTAAGAAAGGTATAAAAGCTAGTAAACACGTACGTGTCCAATTGTGCGCCGCTATTGTGCTGCCTCTTTTCAACGAAACGTGATCATGGGCTCGATTCTCGGACTCGCCATGCATGATACAGTATGTGAGTAAGCTTGCTGTAGGTTCTCTCCTGTTTCTCGAGAGTTTTTTTACCAGATTTTCTCGCTCCGCAAAAAAAAAAGAAAGAAATTCTACTTAAAATTCCGGTTGGATACACCTGTTGTACAATGCTTTAGTCATGACTCCTGGCTTAAGAGACTGAGCGATCACTCCCTCCGTGATCCACGTTAAATAAGTCATAAGTAGCTAAATCGTGAACAGTAAAAAACAAATCAATACTGATTCTTGGTTGAAATTKTTTCTTCAGAATACTCCAGGTGGCACCAAGATACTGAACGTAACAGCGCGTGATACTGACGAGGGCTATAATGCAAGAATAACCTATTCTGTTGCAGGTATATATACAAAATRTGCATAACAGACTCATGCTTTGATACGCAAATGGTTTAAGAGTGGAACGAATTGAAAGATCGAAAGAGTGGGGCGAGGGCTTGGGCGATGTGATGAATTCATTYATAGATTTGTTCTTTTTACAGAAGTAAGGCTTACACTTTTTTTGGTAAWTTTTTCTTCAGCAGGTGATGGGTATTTTTACATCGACTCCAACACTGGCGTACTGTACACGACTCCACAAACGTTGGACAGAGAAACCAAAGACTTTTACAACTTGACCATAACAGCATCCGATCCAGGAAACAACAAGGTAACAAACCACTGAACAACGTGTCATTCCCTAGAGTATCATTTCTTTGTTTTACGGTTGAGCATGAGAAGACACATTGATGTGAGACACATTGATATGAGACTCAAACAAAGAATATCTTATTCTCAAGGGAATGACACGTGTTCTGCATGAAACGGAAACACAGTGTCACACACGTCATTTCCGGTCTCATCCTGTGCGGAATGTTCATCAGCTGAATCAAATGTTTTCAACAGAATATTTTCTGGCTGATACAACATGGTGGTCAGTGTTTGACCCCAAATTTTGGAGCAGATTCAAAGACTTCTATCTGTCGACTGAAACCCTACAACTTTTTATGGTTGACAGCACTTGGTGGTGATTGTTTGACCACAATTTGAAGCAGATAATGAGATTCAAAGACTTTAATAAGCTGATTGAAGGCCAGCATTTTTTTMGCCACGCATTGATTCCTGCTGTTATAAAATCTGTTTTTTTCTTGACGTCGTAGGCCAGCATCACAGTAAACGTAAATATATTGGACGTTAATGACAATCCTCCACGATTCAACTTATCTGATGTTACTTTTGACGTGGATGAAGGTTCCGGTGTCATGATTGACGTCACAGCAACAGACCAAGACCAAGGAGCCAATCAGGAGATAGAGTATCGTATAATAAGCGGTAACGATGATGGAATCTTTCAAATCGATAATAAAACTGTAAGTATTTGCCCATCGATTTTTTCCAAGTTTTTCATTTTAATCACGATGATTATTCCTTTGTTTGTTTATTTKTTTATTTTTTTTAGGGAAATTTAACGTCTGTTAAGAATGTTGACCGTGAGAGAACGGGACTGAAACTTGATAAAAATGACAATGGCGTTTATTCGCTTGTGGTGGAAGCCGTTGACCATGGCCAGCCTCCACTATCGTCAAAAACCAATGTGAGTAATATTACAATGCTTAAAGTATATATATATATATATATGATATAAATATAAGCTATTCCTAGGCTGAGGGGGAAAACTTGTCGAGTTAGATGTGCATTGCATTGTGGGACTCATGAAGTGGACGAAATGGACGACATCTTGGCAATATATTCCCTAAAACAATGCACTGCACAATGCAATGCATTCTCACAATTAATGCACTGCAATGTCAACTCGATCCATTTTTTTCCTCAACCTCAAAATGGGTAAGCAGATCAAATCGACTGGTATTTTTCTAGGTTATTATCACAGTAAAAGATATCAACGACAACGCTCCAGTTTTCCAAAAGTCATTGTACAATTTTGAGATACCTGAAAATGCAACTATTGGAGACATTCTAGGATCTATTAAAGCTGATGATAAAGATGCTGGAACCAATGGAAAAGTCATGTACTCCATCATATCAACAGGTAATGACTCAATAATACTTKACTTATATATGTAACGTAATAACTGCCACGTGATATTTCAAAAATCAAGATTTATGTGTGTCATCTTGGAAACAATTGTCCCTTTSACAGTTCCCTGCGCCATTTTGAAAGGTAGCCGAGCCTTTGCTGCATCGAAGCGAGACGAACGGTGAGCTTGCAATGATTAGAGACCTTTTTTAACACCTTGTCAAGTCTCATGTCTCTATCATTGCAAGCTCACCGTTCGACTCGCTTCGATGCAAAGGCACGGCTACCATTCAAGATGGCGCAGGAAACTGTCAAAGGTACTTTCGTCATGCAGCTGCTTTGGGGAACATATTGTGTCTTATCATATGACCCGTACGGCCCTGCTCGCGCGCTCTAATAAAACCATTGGAAAAAGTCACGTGATGGGGGCCGGACGGGTTGACGTAAGCGGGCCGGAAAAACCCCTCCGGCCCTGCTCGAATCCGTGCGCTTTCTTTTTCTTAATTATTTTTATTTTCGCTGCGCTCGGTCCGTACKACATGACCTCGAGCCAAATATTTTCCCGTACGGCCCTCCAACTCAGTCAATAAGTACATAGTATTTAGTGATAGCATTGGTTGTCTCTAATATTTATTTGACGACCAATCTTCATTTAATTCCTAGGAAATTTTATTCCATTTGCTCTTACGGCTTCGACTGGAATGTTGTCAGTCAACAAGTCTCTTGATCGAGAAGCGGTTTCGTCTTATGAGTTTACTGTACAGGTAAGCAGCAGCCTGTTACGGCTTTTTTCGTACACTCCATATTGCAAGACAATATATAGCTGCTAAGTGTGTTGTAATTCGAACGAAAAACGACCTCCGGCTCCAAAATAACAATTACTTCTACAGGCGTCTAATTGTTCTGGGTTTTTTTCCGTCTTCATAGCAGGATGTTTTGTACATATATTTAATTGTCAAAGTTAGAGAATAAAAAATAAATCCTGGGAATAAGCTGGGGCAAGATTTTAGCGATCTTTTTGTGTGATTGGACCCGGAAATGCGTCAAAACCTAAAAGCTCTATAGATCTTGATGCACCTTATGGTCCTATTTATCTTAGGCGTCAGACACAGGGAGCCCAAGCCTAAATAGGACAGCGCAGGTAAAAGTCCTGATCAAAGACATCAATGACAACAAACCCATATTTGGACAAAATGCGTATAACGTGAGCATACCTGAGAATACGCCTGGAGGAAGCGAGGTTCTTAAGCTTAATGCACAAGATGCTGATGAAGGTAGTAAAGGACAAGTGGGATATGCTATTCTTGATGGAAGTCAAGGGCACTTCATTATAGAAGGTAAGAATGCATAAGAATAATAACTATGAAAAGAGAATGGAGAAATATCCCTCGTGGCATACCAGTGTACCTTCCACATCTGATAGAAATAGAAAGAAAAGAAAAAGAGTAGTTATAGGTGATTGTATACATGTATATTGAGCAAAACCGCTTGGGCTAGCGATTCATGTATATGCGAACATTGAACATCAAAAAGGAATAAATATGAAAACAAGTTGATTTTGATCTATCTACCAAATCTACTTGAACGTAAAGTTTAATTTCTCCATTTTAGACCACGTGTCATTCTGTAAAGTATCATTTTTTTGTTTAACGTTTGCTCATGAGAAGACAACTGAATATGGATTCAACTCAAACAAATAATATTATTCTCAAGAAAATGACACGCGGTCTGAAATGGGTAAACATTACGCCCAAGTGGATTTGGTCCATTGCCTTGGCAGTCGTTCCATTATCCTCTAATATCTTATGTCTGTTAGTTTCTTAATATCGGTAGCTTATTATAGTCTCATTTTTTATTAAATCTAGAATGGACTGGCATCATCAGAAYTGTTGGTTACCTTGACTACGAAACTAACCAATCATACACCATCAACATATCTGCCTCAGATAGTGGCACACCATCACTAAGGAATTATGTCATTGTGTTCGTCAATATCACAGACATCAATGACCACGCCCCTGTGTTCAACCAATCGCAGTACAGTGTTAATATCAGTGAAGACTCACCTGTTAATGCTAGTGTACTATTGGTTCAAGCCACGGACCTTGATCAAGGAACAAACGCAAAGGTATAGAGAATAGATGTTAGAAATATCACAACCTTATATTTTACAACCATCACCATCACTCCCCGTTGGGAGATCTTCCTTGAGGTTCCCTACACATCCACTACCACTACATTCTATATTTAAAATATACAACACTTAACTCGCTTGTTGATTCTTACGGAGGGAGGAAACCGCGGAGAACCCAGAGAAAAACCCTCGTGGCAGGGGAAAGAACAACACATCAAACAAACTCAATTCACATATGATCCCAGTCTGATCCGGGGTTCGAACCCGTACCACAGCGGTGAGCGGCGTGCGGTAAACCACTACGCCACCCATGCCTCAACCTTTAGAGCTAACTTAATCCCATTTTTCCTGATCAGATTTCCTTCTCGTTGGTGGACGATTTTGGTGTCTTTTCTATCCATCAAGACTCAGGAGAATTGACAATCAAGAGACAACTGGATCGAGAAGAAAAGGATTTCTTTCAGTTACAAGTGAAGGCAAAAGATCATGGCGCCCCTTCACTTTCCTCCACCGCATTGGTAAGCTGGAACAGTCAGTCGTCAACTCTATATTTATCACTACATTATGGCTGCATGTTTATGTTGTTGTTTTTTGATCAAAAGCTTTTGCCCATTTTGATGTCAGCGCATATCTTTATGTAAACAAGCTAAGCACAATAATTGCAGGCTCAACCGTTGTGCTCATGGCTAATCAAATTACAATTAGTCATAAAAACTAGACCTGGATAGAAACTAAATTTTTCAATAAGCCTGAAGCGAGATGACGTTTTACCCCCGACTCTAGACCTTAATAGTTTTAAAAATTCTTTCATATTAAAATTTTTGATTCCTTAGAGAATACAGGAACAATAGTCATAATTAAACAACAAAAGCAATGTGAATAGGATTATGGTCTAGAGACGGGGGTAAAACGTCATCTCGCTTCAGGCTTATTGACCCTCTTTACCTTGAGAATAAGATTCTTTGTTTGAGTCGTATCCATATTCATGTGTCTTCTCATGCGCAACCGAGCGCAACTGCTAAGCAAAAAAAAAAAAAAGATACTCTAGGGATGACGATTCTCTTTTCATTATTTGATAATATTTGGTATACTTTGTGACAATTCAGGTGAAGATCATTATCACAGACGTTAATGACAACACTCCAACGTTCTCTAAGCCGTCGTTCAACTTCCAAACCAGTGAAGATGCTATAAATGGGGCCATTCTTGGTTTGGTTACGGCTGTGGATAGAGATACTGGTGATAATGCTAGACTGAACTACTCGCTCACTGGTGCACGAAAAGGTATGTAAAATAGAACTTCCTCCCTCCGTAAAAATCGCCTAATTTTCATACATGAATCGAGAGTTCCGCGCTACTGCTCTAAGCGCATGTTAAAGAGTTCAAAAAGTAGGATAATGGGTTGTAAAAGATTCGCTATAATTTGATTGTATTTTTCTTATCAAGCACATTTTTTATTGGAAATTCAAGAGCAAGTAGCGTTAAATATACCAAAATATACCAAAATATACCAAAATATGACAAATGTTACAACCCATGATCCCACTTTTTGACCCTTTGAGCATGCGCTTAGAGCAGTAGCGAGGCCCCTTAGTGCATGTATTAGACCTGGCGTCGAAGGCTTAAACACAAGCCTTTTCACTAGATTTTYGCTCTTCAGAAAATATAAATTAGTCTCTTTAACGTAATCTTGTGCATTGTTTTATGCCAATCAATTTAAATCAAGGCATGCTTATATTTCAGATTTATTTCAAATTAATAGCCATACCGGGTCCCTTTCATTGGCTCATTCAGCAATAGGACTAGCCAATCAGAACATATCATTGCTGGTCACGTGTCGTGACTATGGCAGAAAATCATTATCATCTGACGTCAATGTCAGTGTTTTTATCTCTACCGGAAGTAGAAAGGTTCCTAAGCTGATTCCACGTCATCTCAATGTCAGTATTTATGAGGTAAGAAACTTAGCAATCTTACGTGACGTTATTTCCTTCCTCGTGTGCAATGCTCATCAGCTGAACCACGCGTTTTCAATACAATTTTTTCTGGCTGACAGCACATGGTGGTCAGTATTTGATCAACATTAGAAGAAGATAATGAGACTTTTGTCAGCAATAGGCCGTTTACACAATGAAATAATTTTACTACCACTACCAAAATGCTTTGCAAATTTTCTTTGTCATTTAAAGTTGTATTTCCTCATGAGAATAGTAAGACAATTGGTGAGCTTTGGTGGGAAATAACTGAAAAAAGAAAGTGTCCAATGAAGTGGTAGCGTTAGTAAATAACGCTATAATGTAAGTGACCTATTGTACCAAAGGAAATAAAGTCTGACCTAAGAACAAGTAGAAATAATGACTGACCGAAGAGAAAAGTTTGATAGAAGAAAGGACGAAGAAGAAATAAAAGAAAAAAGTATATTATATATAAATATCAAGTGTTTCTTTTTGCGTTCGCCAAATCAGCGGAAGATTATTGAAATGTTTGACTACTCACTATATATTTCTGCTGTATGTTTCACAGAATGCCTCAATAGGTAACTCCATTGTCAAGTTAAATGGATCCGACACAGTAAACAGTAACATAGACTACCTACTCCTGGCAGGGAATCATGGGAAGTTTTCTCTCAACTCAACCAATGGCGTGTTGACTCTGATTGGGAGTCTGGACCGAGAGACAAAGTCATCCTACACGGTAAGATAGTATCTATTGTTAATGTTACTCATCTAAGGCCTAGGGCAAACGTCGAACTTTCCATGCACCGAACTTAATTACATCAAAGAATGCCGCCTCMTTATCACATGATATCCATTGTTTTTAATGAGTTCGTTGCATGCAAAGTTCGACGTTTCATGTACTTTTGGGTATTTATATTCTTAGTTTTCCAATAGTCCCCCTCAAAGTTCTCTACGCCATCTTGAAAGGTAACCGTGCTTGTTCACCGTGACGGAGTGAGTAATGATAGAGAGATGAAAATAATTGTTCAAGTTATTCAACTTTCCATGCACCGAACTTAATTACATCATGCCGCCTCATTATCACATGATATCCATTGTTTTTAATGAGTTCGTTGCATGGAAAKTTCGACGTTTGCCCTAGCCCTAATATAGATTTACTCTCCAGTCCCATAAAACTGTCTGTGAGACTTTCCTCGCAACATCCATCACCATCTTTATTATTTATGTACAATATTATTGAGAATAGAGGTGTTGCACATGACGGCAGCCATGTTAGATGGCCAGCAGGAACGAATACAATCGTTTTACATGGGAAAGAATTCAATTCCCAAGAGGAAAGGAATTTTATTGTTCTGCCACCTAACCACAGGCAGCCCAAGCTGCTTGCTTGAACGGGTGTTTGCACGTGATGGTGCAAAACCTCTATAGGAACTTGTTGACTCATGTTATAAACAAACAGATTTATGACGAAGTTTATTGAYGTCATTTAGATCAGATTAGTTCGTGGTGCGTGACTACTTTGGTCACGCAAGAAAAGTCTATCGTTTTACTTAGGCCTTGGGCAGGTCTACTCCTTATAGATCCCTCGAAATGCAGCTCTAATCATAGACTGATTCCATAAGTCGTAGTTTTCGATAAAAGAGCGAAAACACTGACTTATGGAATCAGTCTACTCTAATTGGAGTACATAAGAAAGCTAGTTTGTTTTGTCCTCCGAATAGAGCTACTTTSACATTACATGCAAGGGGTCTATTAGATTTTAATCATTATTGTTTCTTGTTATATATTAATAGTTATTCGCGATGGTTCAAGATCGAGCACTACCTATTTACTCTGACTATGGTAGTGTCTTCATCGACGTTCTGGATATCAATGATAATGAGCCAGCTTTTATTCAGGTACGTTTGGGTATTTATATTCTTAGTTTTCCAATAGCCCCCATCAAAGTTCTCTACGCCATCTTGAAAGGTAGCCGTGCTTGTTCACGGTGACGGGGTGAGGAATGATAGACATGTAAATATTTGTTCAAGTTGTTAAAGAGATCTCTATCATTGCAAGGCCACCATCGCCCTCGCTTTCATGCACAGGCTAGGTTACCTTTCAGAGAAAAAAAAACGTCCTTTTTTCATGAGGGTAGCACTTAATAGCCAGTGGCTAACAAACCTGTGGCCCTCATTCCATGATCGAATTAGAATTTAGGAGTTGATCTTGGGGGAGAGAGGAAAACTGGAGAACCCGGTAAACCCTCGAAGCACAGGAGAGAACCAACAAACAACTCTACTCATATACAACACCGAGCCCGGCGGGACTCGAACTCGGGTCGCATTGATGAGAGGCGAGCGCTCACACCGCTACGCCACCCGTGCTTGCCATTGCACTGGCACTGGTAAGTGTAAATGGGACTTTTGATTGCTATTTCAAAGTAGAAAAAAACAACAATTATTACCACCTATATGCGACCAGGGCCTTACTTATTTAATTCTCTATCCAATCTTATTAATAATCTTAGAAATCATTCGTGTTGCGCGTGCCTGAAAACACAGCCAATAGTTCCAAGGTGACCCAGGTCAAAGCTACTGACCCCGATCAAGGAATTAATGGTCAAGTCTTTTACTTCCTACAAGGTATGTAAATATAATTTTTTAATGGAAATATACACTTTGAATATTGAATAATCTTGGCAGCCATATTGCCTGGGTAGGACAGAAACAATAAAGTATTTTGCATGACAAGAGATTTCCCTTCCCGGTATTGGGATTTTTCAATTTTTCAATTTATTTTTGCTATACGACACACCCTTCCTAAATGATATGTATCCAACGTTATTCCTAAAATCCTTTACGAAACACTGTGAATAAGGATCAAAAACTGTGTTTTAATGAAACCATTATTTTTTCTCATGGATCTCTTTTTCTTCAATTGCAGGCGATTCTTCTACTACATTCTTCATCGATAACAAAACAGGAGACGTGTATACAAAAACTGCGCTCGTAAGGGACAAAGCTTTAATTTACACTTCTTTTCTTTTGTAGGATGTACTGGATGCGCAATTTACTTTGGAAAATTTAATCAATCATAATCGACATAGACTAGCCCACTTGCTCCAAGTCTTTCCTCCCGCAGGAGGTTTAATGAAGAAATAGAAAACGCGCGCGCGTGCTGTGTGCAGTTATAAAGCACGCGGGGATTGGCAGAACACGAGAGAAGTGTTAGGAGAAGCACGACGCATAGCGGAGTGCTTCTAGACACTTCTCGAGTGTTCTGTCAATCCCCAAGTTATAAAGCACGCGGGGGTTTGCAGAACATGAGAGTAGTGTTAGGAGAAGCACGACGCATAGCGAAGTGCTTCTCGAAGCTTCTCGAGTGTTCTGCCAACCCCCCGCGTGCTTTATAACTTGTTCTGTCAATCCCCAAGTGCTTTATGACTTCACACAGCACAGCAAGCAAGTTTTTTTTATTTCTTTTATAAAATACCAATTACGTGAATGACGAAACTGAAAGTGCGTGCGCGTGCTGTGTGCTCTCATAAAGCACGCGCTCCCAACCAATCAGATTACGGGATTTAGAGTAGTTATTTTATAATTTCTATTCGAGCTCAACAAGCAAGCAACGGAGGACTTTTGGAAATACCTTTTTAGCTTGGGCGTCATTTTTTTCTCATTTCAGACCATGCGTCATTATTCTCTTGAACATAACATCCTTTGTTTTAGCTGCATACATTTTTATTTGTCTTCTCATTAAACAAAGAAATGATGCTCTAGTGAATGGAACGTGGCCTGGAATGGGAAGCATTACGCCCAAGCTAAAGATTTCTAGTTTACAACTGGTGCTATGTTTTTCCCAAAGATATCTTAAGATGCATTGCAAATAAAGTAGAGGTCGTGACAATGCTTCTCACAGCTGGCGCTATGTTTTCCACAAAGATATCTCAAGATGCATTGCGAATAAAGCAATCGTGAAAATGCACGAGGTTACCCATTCAGTTGACCAAAACGATTGATTCGGCTGATAGTTTGCTTATCCTTCATTCATGTACGTTGTTGTGTTTTCTTTTATTAGGACTACGAAACCACTCAATCGTACAACGTGACTGTCGTAGCAGAAAACACCCTCTCATCAGTGCGTCTGCGCAGTCTTCTTACCTTTACAATCAATGTTGAAGACATCCTGGACTCTAGGCCTTCCTTTCCACGTGATTGGCTGCAGACGAGCATAAAAGAAGATGCTCCGATTAGTTCGTTTGTGATTGACGTCAATGCCACGCTAAACGATAAGGTGATACAGTAACCCCCAAAATGCACTAGATATAAGGGAATAACCAGAGTAACCTTTGAATGATGTACGTTTTTTTTATAGATATCCAGTTTTGTATTTTATCGCCTGGTGCATAACCAGAGCAGTATCAACTCGCAACACTTTTTGGTGGAGCCGGACTCGGGAATTATCAGATCTCAAACACAACTAGACCGTGAAACAACTAGTAACTACACGGTAGGTAGGGCATAGGTCAACCATTAACATCTTATGGATACCCTGAAACCACCTCTGGGGTAATCTAAGTCAGGGCACGCCTAACTAACAGATCATATTTATTTTAAAACATTGTAAATAAATTACATTTCATATTTTATTTTTTATATCATCACTATATTGCATATCTATATATAGACATATTTTATCTTATTCATATTCATCAAAATATTAAATTAATTTATTTTCTTAATTTATTATATTTTATTTTGTGGCAGTACCTGCAAATTAGCAAAATATCCTTTATATTGAGCTAAGTGTATTTTTGACCACGTTGAATAGAGTTATTGTTTATTGAACCCTGAAACAACCTCTGGCTGATCTAAGTCAGGGTTTGGCTAACTCATAGATCGAATCCTGAAACAACCTCTCTGGGTTTATCTAAGTCACAGAAACTTGAACGCCAATAAGCTAAAAGAAATCGAATAAAGTAGTTAGATCAGTGGTTATTTTATGTTAGAATATTTCTGATCTCGCCTTCTGGTTCTTCTTTTACACTTATGTATATTTGTACAATTGTAAAATTTTATCTTTCTTGAAAAATTATTAGCCTCTTTAATCGTCGATTTAATTCCAGCTTGTCGTGGAGGCACGTGATCTACGAGGAACCAATGAATACAGAGCAATGACACACGTGGTGGTCGATGTGCTAGATGTTAATGATAATGATCCAGTTTTCAAGTTACAATCGTACACGTAAGTAGACAATGCACTATATTGAACGTAATTAATCTCATAATTAATCCCGATCCATCTTATCGATGCCATCAATGCATCCTTTCCATTCAATTACAATCATCTAATCATTTACCCACTCCATTCTGCGTCATTCCATCCATCCATTCATCTCTCCATTCCTCCCTATCTCCCTCTCTCCTACCCTCCCTCCCCTCCTACCCTCCCTCCCTCGCTCGCTCCCTCCCTCCCTCGCTCCCACGCTCCTTTCATTCCTCCTCCCTCTCTCCTACCCTCCCTTCTCTCCTACCCTCCCTCCTTCGCTCCCTCGCTCCTTTCATTCCTCCATATATCCCTCCCTCCATGCATTCCTCCTTACATCCATCGGTTCTATCCATCACATCCCAATCAAATCCTTCTATCAATCTATCCATCGACTCCGTCTCACTAGTATGACACGTGCATTTTGATCTACCAAAACGAATTCGACTGAAACTTTTATTATTGTATACAGGTTTTCCCCCAAGGAAACGTCATCAGTCGGTGATGTGATTGGACAACTACAAGCACGTGACGCTGACAAAGATGAGAACGCAGTGACACTTTACGAAATTTCTGACGGAAATCAAAATGGTGTGTTTGACCATATGACTTTTATTTAAAACAAAAACAAAAACAAAACAAAAAACAAAAAAACCCCGATATTCACTCTATAGACCTCATGCATGTGACGTGAAAGGAGTTCGAACTGGAGGACAAAACAAAATAATTTCAATTTCCTGAGAATTGGAAATCTATTGTTATGTCCCCCAAATTGAACTGCTTTCCGACGTGCTGCAAGGAGTCTATTAAAAATCATCAAGACAGTTATTGTGCTATGAATTAATTGTTTCTTCGAGCAAAATTAATTTAATGTTTTCCTGGTTTCAGGGTACTTTGAAATGAATTCCAACGATGGTAGAATTGTTATTGCAAAACTATTAGATTTTGAGGCACAGTCGACGTTTACACTTAAAGTAAGAGCATACGACAAGAAAAAAGCCGTTACGGCTCGACGAAAGCGAGATGGTAAGACCTTCTGCTGCTGCTTACCTCCCCCAGCCCCGTTCCCATATCCATCCCCTGCTAGTCTGCTTTCCTTCTTTCCTCACCTCCTTCCTTCTACTCTTTCCCTCATACCCTCCTCATTTTTTTCCATTTCCTTCCTTACTTTCTATTTTCCTTTGCTCTTTCCTTCATTCTTTCTTTCGTTCGTTCGTTCGTTCGTTCGTTCGTTCGTTCGTTCGTTCGTTCGTTCGTTCGTTCGTTCGTTCGTTCGTTCCTCCCTCCCTCCCTCCATCCCTCTTTTCTTCCTTTATTTCTTTCCTTCTCTCCTCCTATCCTTTTTTTATTTATTCCATCCTCCTTAATTCC